ACAGGGACCGATCAAAACCGAGGCAACAATAAAACACAAGCACATTATTTATTTATTTTTAAAAATGGAAGGTTGGTGCTTGGCCCTCGGAGCCAACGAGGAACGCATGGCTAGCACGAGACCCAACAATGCCACCGCTAAGCAACATGCCCCGCAACATCCACCCGTGCGGGTGGGAAACGCAGGGGCAATTCACATCGCTAGGCACCACGAGGTCCAATGCTTGCCTATTCGCGCCCACATGCGCCGCTTGTTGCCTCAAAGGGCTAAGCACCACCCGATGTCTACTTCTATCTAGTACCTTGCAAGGGGCAAGAAGGGGGGGCCGAGGCCAAGCTTGCCTTTTTTTTTTTTTTTTTTAGCCATGCCACCGCATTACAACATGCCCCCGACATCCCCGGGTGGGTGGGAAAACGAACAAGCATGTCGCGTTGCTAGGCAGTACCAATTTGGCATTCTAGGCAAGCTCGACATCGAATCCCACTTCTTGCCAACTTCGGTCGGTGTTGAGCCCATGGGTGCTGCAAGTAAAGCACATGACAAGGCCAGCATGCCGCATGCCCCAATAATGCCACCGCGCTGCAACATGCCCCCGACATCCACCCGGGGTGGGTGGGAGAACGAACAGGCACCTCGCATTGCTAGGCAAGATCAAGAGTTTAGGCACGCCTACCCCTCGTTGCCCCCATGGGATCAACACCAACCTACATATTATTTGGCTAGCCAACCGCCAATTGCCATGCCACCGCACTGCAACATGCCCCCGACATCCACCCGGGTGGGTGGGAGAACGAACAAGCATGTCATGTTGCTAGGCAAACAATTGTTGGTGTGCTAGGCAAGGCCGCTCCTAGCATTCCCACGCCTACTGGTTGGTGCTCGGCTCTCGTTGGCTTCGAGGGACACATTGCAAGCATGGCTAGCACGAGATCCAACAATGCCACTGCGCAGCTACGCGCCCCGCGACATCCACCCGTGAGGGTGGGAAAACGCCAGGGCACATCACATTGCTAGGCACCAAAGGGTCCAATGCTAGGCACACCTGCCAATTCGCGCCCACATGCGCCGCTCGTTGCCTCAAAGGGCCAAGCACCAACCGCCTTGGAGGCCCTTGCAAGGGGCAACAAGGGGGAGCCAAGGTCAAGCTTGCCTTTTTGTATAGCCTGCCACCGCATTGCAACATGCCCCCGACATCCACCCGGGTGGGTGGGAGAACGAACAAGCATGTCGCGTTGCTAGGCATTACCAATCGGCATTCTAGGAAAGCCCGGCCTCGGAATCCCACTTGCTCCCAACTTCGGTCGGTGTTGAGCCCATGGGTGCCGCATATAGGCGCATGACAAGGTCAGCGTGCCACATGCCCCAACAACGCCACCGCTCAGCAACATGCCCCGACATCCACCTGATTGGGTGGGAGAACGGACAGGCACCTCGCATTGCTAGGCATCATCGGAGTTTTAGGCACACTAGCCCCACAAGCACCCACTCGTTGCTCCCATGGGACCAACACCAACCTACGTTTGCTTGCGGTGACAACACGCTAGAGCTCGATTATGTCGGCTTGCCCACCACCGATCACCATGCCACCGCGCCACGACATGCCCCCGACATCCACCTAGGGGGGGTGGGAGAACAAATGGGCATGTCGTATCGCTAGGCAAGGGTCCCTGGTGTGCTAGGCAAGCCCCGCGGCAGCCCCCTTGTCGCCCCCCGCAGGCACCTTCAAGGACCTCACCCCCCCTATAATAGCATTAGGAAGCAAAATCCTAGTGGCAGGAACAGACATCCTTTTGCTCGAGGAGTCATAATATGAATTTAGCTATTAAATAATAATTTTTTTTATAAATAATCAATTAAAATAAGTGAATATAATTAATACTCAAGTGAAGGGAAATAATTTTAATTTTTTTTAAAATTATTTTTTTTTTATTTTTTTTTTTAATAATTAATAAATTAAAAAACCGTCGGCGTCGGCGTCGGGCGTCGGCGTCGGCATGCCACGACTTGGGAAAAGGAAATGCATGCTAGTGTGGTCGTGCAAGTGCATGGGTGTGTCGGGGGAGGCATGCGGCAACCTCCGAGGGCCAAGCCCCTCAGAGACCTCACCCCCCCCTATAATAGCATTAGGAAGCAAATTCCTAGTGACAGGAACAGACATCCTTTTGCTCGAGGAGTCATAATGGGGGTTTTGTGAAGTAAAACTCATTTTCTTTTGAAATAACCGATCAAAATGCAAACAAATAATTATTAACATTGTGAAAAATAGTTATTATATTTTTTTGTGCAATAAAATAATTATTTATTATTTTTTTAGCAAAAAAATAGGGAAAAATAGTTAAAAATAGTTAAAAATAGAGAAAAATCACGAAAAAATACGAGTAATTATTATTTGTTGAAATTAATTGATTAAAAATAAAAAATAGGAAAAATAGTGGAAAATTGAAACATGATGTTGCTATCCAAGCAAGGTTATGCGGTGTTTTGGGAGAGGAGAGGCATG